ACACGAGACAATATGGAAAATAGACATTCAACATTTAACGCTGGGAAATACCTAACAATGGAGAAGGCGGGAATAATGAATTGAATTAAAGGGAGTTGATCGTATGGCATGGCTCGGCCATGCAGGCGTGGTCCCTGCTGAATGTTATCCTATATCTTTTATTCATATTAAATATATTGTTCCATCTCTAGCCTAAACTTGTTCCCCATCATGTATTGGTAATTGTTACAATGCAATGAGTTGGTGTAGACGATGATGTAACTTCCACGTAAGATCTCATAGATTAGGCAGCTATATCATGATAAATCTACAATTTGAGGACTAAGTCTATTATTAGAGCAGTGCTAATATCATAGTAGAACATAATTCTACAAACTCACCAATGCTAATAATGCTCGTCTGAAACTTGGATGACTTCTCAGTTTACGGACCACGAGCAATCAATACCCAGGATGCCTTTGTTTCGCAGTGACAGAAAAACAGGAAGTGTAGGTGGAGTAGCCTTATACTTGAGATCATGCCTGAAGGTACATCGAGTACACAATCAAGAGCTTATCGATCTTGATGAGTTGGTACGGTGCTCAGTAAGATCGTCTACCACCTCGAGGTGTCTAGTTGGAGTCATCTACAGGAAGCCCACTGCTGAAATCGAGTACGACAATCATATGCTGGAAGGATTATTCCGCTCTACTCATCACAGATTCACTCATATCCTGATTCTAGTAGACTTCTATCTTTCTAAAGTCAGTTTCGCAGAACACAAGTACATTCTGGGTGAAAACCCTTCTGAAGCTCGGCTCTTCAACCTCATTGAGGATCTGGGATTATTCGAAGATGTGAAGACGGTAACTCGTTGGAGAAACAGCCAGATGCCGTCGCGCTTAGACCGGGTATTAGGAAACTGCGGCACCTAAGAAAAGACATTTCTCCAGATCCGAATATGGTTCATCCTGCTATGCTGAGGGAAGCAGATTCAATCCTAGCAACACTGCTCAGTGTGATGTTCTTACACTCGCCAAGCCGAGGCACATTACCAGAAATTTGGAAGCTGGCTCACATCATACCAATTTTCAAAGGAGATCGGTATAGAGAACCTTCAAGCTACTAACCAATAGCTCTTCTCTGTGTACCTTCAAAAAATATGGGATCCCTGATATGCGACGGTATACACGACTACTTATTTTCCTTGAACTTCTTTTCAACCCAACAACACTGTTTCAGGAGGGGTCATTCTAGTATAACCAACCTGCTGACAGTGACGGACAGATGAACAACCATCCTCGATCGCAAGGAGAAGGTTGACGTCATTTAACTTGACTTCTCAGAAGCTTTTGATAGGGTCAACCATATATATGTCTTATCAATGAGTTCAAACGACTGGCTATCAAATCATGTCTGATTGATCCAAAAACTCAACATTTTAAGGTCAGGGTTAACTTCACTTTCTCTCAGGCTATGGAATGTGCTAGTGGGGTCCCCCATGGTTTTGTGCTGAGACCTCATCTTTTCTTGACTTATACAAACGATTTTCCACGGCAGGTACCATCTGACTTATTACTTTTTGCTGATGTGAAACTTTGGGGAGACATACCAAACGAGGAGGAAGCGTAATGGTGCTCGTTTCGGGGTAGCTTAGTGTACTTTATATGTTGTATGCCCTTATCAGATCGCTTTTAGCTCAAGGAGAATGACTCCAAGTATTGGAGTTTATCCTTGTGAGGTTTATGTTTTAGTCCTATCATTCACTTCATAACCCTTCCCTGTAGTTGATATACAAGATTAATAACTCTTTTAGAGCGAGTGTCGCAACAGCATTGTGGACGTTTTTACATTTCAAACAATGTTATAAAGAACACCGGATTGATTACGCCAATTCGCCTTTACACAAAGTGGATAGTTTTAATTGGCTTAGTTATATCCCCTTTGTAATATGAACTGGAGTCTAGTCTCTGTGGTTACATGTCGGATATCATGCTATGAGGAAGCAATTGGTGGAAGATTTTTACGGAGGGTGTAAGTGCCTTGTGTCAAATGTGATTGTCTACCAACTATCCTTCTAAAGTCCTTTTTCAGGTCATGCGCCTATCCGATTGTGGGATCATGGTCGTTCAGGTCTCGTGAATTAATATTCTATGAAATCAAGTTTCTTTAGGTCAGTCAGAGAGTCAGTAACAACAAGGAACTTCGTACGTACGTACATCAGTTCGAGTTGCCATACCACATTAGCACAGAGATTCAGTTATCGATTCAAATCCCGTAGTAGTAGAGGTAGTGAAAGTATAAGTAGTGACAGGGAACATTATGGTTTGATAATGTTATTAAAGGAGTATAGTCCAGTGGAATAAATTTGGAAAGAAAATAAAGAACATGAAGAATTCAGAAGATTATAATTTGGGAGAACACAAAGAGTGGATGCACCTCCACTGTTGCAAACGATTTTGAGCCATGTCATTCAAGGTCTCTAACCATCGGTTGCTATCATCTCGCGGTCCCCAACCAAGTAGTCTGCATCTACCAAAATGGCTCAGTCCACTTGTCACTGACTTCACAGATTTGTGCCATATTTTGGTCTGGCTGCCCCTAGCTTTCTTCGAACCTACTGCTACACCATAAATCATCGCACATAGGGGCAGTCGGTAGTTGGGCATACGTAACACATGTCCAAGTCATTTCAAATGATGAGGTTTCACTACTTCATCAATTGATTTGCCATCCTTATCTAGTACCCGTTTCCTGACAACTGTATTACTTACTCGGTGGTCCCAGGATATACGAGCAATGTTTCGAAGACATCTATGGTCGAATACTAGTGACCTACGAATATCCTCTACTCTTACCGACCACGTTTCACTGCCATAAAGTAAGACGGAAAGAACTGCTGCGCAGTAAACTCATACTTTGGTTGATAGACGGATATCTCGCCTACACCACGAATGACGCAAGTTGGCAAAAGCTAGTCGAGCCTTCTGTATCCGTGCTGAAATTTCGTCATACACCAGACCACAAGGGCTGATGAGACTTCCAAGATAAGTGAAGCGGTCGACACGCTCAACTACTTCACTCTCTATCACTAGTCCGGGTGCCGATGCAACCAAATCCTGAAGTAACATTTTGCATTTCGAGGGAGAAAATCGCATCCCGAACATGCCTGCGTTGTTGCCTAGAGTGGTCAGCAGACTCTGCATTTTCTCAGAGTCTTCACCAAATAGAACTATGTCTTTGGCATACTCTAAGTCAAAAAGTGAATTTCCCCGTAGAAGTTCAACTTCTGGAAATCCAGATGTGGAAAGTGTCAACTCTAAAAGCACGTCAATGACAAAGTTAAACAAGAATGGAGAGAGTGGATAGCCATGACGAACACCACTTGAGATAATCAGTTCTGATGACAGTTTGCCATAAGCTCTCACTCGACCAGTTGTGTTCGAGTAGAGAGCCTTTATAAAGTTAATGTACTTCTTTGGTATTCCTTTCAGTGACAAACATTGCCACAGAACCTCACGATCAACTGAGTCAAATGCCGCCTTAAGGTCGAGAAATACTACCATTGTGGGGCGTCTGAATGTGTGTTTACGTTCTAGAACCTGAAGTAGTGTGAATATTTGATCTATACAACCACGTCCAGGTCGAAAACCAGCCTAGTTTTCTCTAGTTTGCTCTTCACGAGCTTTGGTTAGACGTCGAAGTAATATTGAAGCTAATGTTTTAGACACTATATTAGTCAAACTAATTCCTCTGTGATTGTCACAAGAAGACTTTTGTCCTTTCTTATAGACTGGCACAATCAGTGATTGAGACCAGTCAGATGGGATTAGGTCCAGTTCCCAGATTCTGCCTAAGACCTCAGTCAATCTCGATGCTAATACTGGACAGTCACCCTTAAAAATCTCAGGGGTAAACCTGTCAGGGTTTCTTTAGATACGCTAGGGTTAAGTATAATCATACTTTAGAACTTGGGAGAAGTATTATGTGACTCAACACGGGAGCCTATTTATGATTTATTAACTAAACGTGCGTTGTTTTAAGGAGTGATTCTTCTGCAGTTCTGTCCACTTCCCGTCACTAGAGACAGCGATTTCAGGACGAGTTAGAACGGTGACGGCCTTATCTGGGTAATCAGGTATAACTTTAGAGTCGTGACCAACAATATCCAGTGATGTTTCACTCTCTGTTCCGAAGGAAATTTCTCGTTTTCATGTATCGCACTCGGGCGTTTGACTACGTTAACGGTACTTACTACATTGTCAGTACTCAAGTTAACAGTGAAGCTACCATCAACTTTATTGCTGGTCAACTCCAGGAAGTCCATTGCCAGTTGGATCAGTGACGTCTTGCTTGACCAGTAAAACACAGAATGCCAATGAGTTTTGGGTTTCAAGAAACATTTTGTATGCGATGGGTTTCAAACGAGTACATATCTTGTGGACCCAATTGTTAAACTCGTCAAGTTGCGTTTCTTTATTCAAAAGAAATAAAAAACTTGTCTCTGTACAATAATAAGTAGACAGATTCGATGGGAAAAATCGACGAAACTACATATGATACTAGTGTGCAAATCAACTAAAACTGGAGTGCTATGGTTCAAATGGTTGTGGACGGAATAGAAGAAGCTTTCGCTTAACAGGCTTCCGTGTTGAGTAGCAGGGGATCAACAATACCTTCAGGCAAGAACCTAGGTATATTAACGGTAAAAGAGAAAAAAAGAAATTGGTAAATCATATTAAGATACTGTCCTTAGTCCTTAAGAATAGATCAAGTCGCTCCTTAAAGGACTCTTGGAAAGTTGCTTGAACTAGCTCAACCGGCAGCGAATTCCAGCGTTTGACAACTCTTAAGGAGTAGAAGTTGGGCCTGCAGTCCGTTCTACTTTGTTGTATCTCCAATTTCTGGGTTCTACCTAAGGAAAAGTTCAAACTCTGAATCAATAAACTCAAACTAAAGCAGAAAAGTATACTTTTAATGCGATGGATACACAAAAGCTTAGGTAATTCACAACAAGTGCGAAAACCACTGCCTTGTTTATCATCGCACGCATCCTTCACAATCGGACTCGGAAGACGCGCAATGTTTCGTTCTTCCTGTAAGTTCCGTCTTTTCATTCTGTCCAATTGACTAGTTTTAAGCTCTCCGGGTAAATATGGAGCTTATATTCGAAACTTTCAAATTTGTTCAAGTCTACGTGCTGTGGCGGGTGCCACCCAAAATCTTAACCAATCTACTGATGGTCCTATTGTGAAGGCAGAATCAATGGCAAACCAATATGAACAAGTGGGGTCTAATTATAATCTTTTATTAATAGGATGTAACTAATTCCATCGCAAGGTGGGCCAAAGCTGAGGAAACATATTATGGCAAAGAACGTGATTTCGCGAACTACCCAACTTTCAAACTCGCTCGTTGTCATCCCAAAGTCAGAATGGGTGTGTTTCCTGACTCTTGGTTTCAGCCGTTTTACAACAAAACCGGTGTCACTGGTAACTTTGAAATAATTCTCTTACTTTTGAGGGCCATATATGTTCATGTTTGGTTCGTTCATGTTTTTAATCAACAAGGAGATATGGGTGTTCGATGGTCACTTCTTGGAATTTGTTGTGTTCTTGTCTATGAGTACCATGATTATCAAAAGATTTGGCGCTCACGCTAGAAAGCTCGTAGAAAAATGGACGGAAGTGAGTTAGAAATATTTGTATAACGTGCTCTTAGGAAGATGAACAATTGATGTATCATCAACCTATGAACAAAGTAAAAAGCTATATAGATAATACAATAAAAACGTGCGAAATGGAAGTGGAAAGAGCGGCCGCTGTTCCTGAACATGTACGTGCTAAGGAAGAAAACATTGCCTTACAACTTGAAGCTACTTACCGTGAACGCCTTCAAAGTGTATACCGAACAGTGCATCGCCGCTTAGTAAGTCCCCAGTTATTTATATGACAATCATAACCCGAAAGCCTCCATCCAATACAATCTTTCCATTTCTCTTGAACATATCCAGGTTAACCATAAAGTGGCGATCCAAGTTGACGAAAAGCCGAATTGGGCACTGTTACTGAACGTAATTTGTCTGTTGAGATTAATACCGGTTAGTGGGTATTCCGAGTTTTGTAGTGGCGGTCGCGATAAGTTTCCTCAATTTCGCCATATATAATGGGCGACAACAGAAGTATCAACTGTTTGTCTAGAGGTTCATCAGTAATAAATGCTTATTATGGTCGGACGGTAGACATCAGTCTAGTATTTTAACGATAAAACCTAATTGGTGATTTCTCTTTTACGAGTCATGCTATTTATTATCATGGTTCTTGTTTGTCTGAAAAAATATTTCTAATCGATGTGGAAGTGAACTCAATTACTCATATTCGTGTAGTGTATTAAAAGAATGCGTACAATGTAACGCTTCTTACAGAATTCCTCCTAACGAGTTATTTTTGATGATTGCCCTATATAGGAATACCACGTTGAACGTGAAAATGCACGAAAACGTTACATTCAGCAACATATGGTGAACTGGGTTGTAGATCACGTGGTCAAAGGAATCACTCCTGCCCAAGAAAAAGACACGCTGACGCATTGTATCAACGAATTAAAACGGTTGGCGCAAACTTCCAAAGTGACAGCAACTGTTTAGTGATTTACAGACGAATAACCACTCTAGTTGGGGAAACGGCCTATTTTAAACCAATATATTAGTATATTCCCAGGCTCTTCTTTTCACTTCTCTAGATGTTAATAAGTGTGGATACACTATTGAGTTTAAACGGTTGTTTCAAGATGCTTGGAAAATATTCCAATCCACTGTAAAGCACTTATGTTTTAGTTTTGTTTATCAAGATGAAAAAACCGTTTTATATTTATACATCTTAGAAGCCAACCAAGGATTAAAAAGGAAAACAACTAAATCTCAATAAATAAGTAACTTTTTTTAGTCGCCTACACTTCTTATTTCTCTGTATCACTTGTAACATCTTTTTGGACGGTGGCTTGATTGACTATTTGGAGTTCTTTTGTTTGGTCACTGCAACACCAACCCGTTAGGGTTGATCAGACTTCCAAGATGAGTGACGTTGTTGACACGTTCGACTATTTCACTCCCTATCCTTAGTTCAAGTGTTGACGCAAGCCAGTCCTGAAACAACAACTTGTATTTAGAGGGGGAGAAACACATCCCAAACATCCTTGAATTGTTGCTCAGTGCTACCAAAGCACTGCATTTTATCAGCATTTTCACCAAACAGGACTATGTCGTCTGCGTATTCTAACTTGGTAAGTGGACCTCCAGACGGCGAAAACGTTGTTTCCAGCAGTAGGTCTATGATAAAATTAAACAGAAATGGGGATAATGGACAGCCTTGCCGGACACCACTTGAGGTTGCAAAATCAGATGACAGTTTTCCATAAGCTCTGACAACACTGGTAGTGTTCGAGTAAAGTGCCCTCATAATGTTTTATGTGCTTCTGAGGTACACCGTTCAATGACAGGCACTGCCACAGAACCTTTCAGTGTACAGGGTCCAATGCTGCTTTTAAGTCAAGGAAAACTCATTGTCAGACACCGATAAACGTGCCTGTGTTCTTAAATCTGATGGATGGTGAATATGTGATTGATACAGTCCCGACTAGGTCTGAAGCTGGCCTAATTTTGTCGTGTTTGAAGTTCACGAGTCTTAGTTAAGCGTCCGATTATTACTAAGGCTAGTATTTTAGATGCTATGTTAGTCAAACTAATCCCTCTATGGTTATCACAGGATGGTTTTGACCCCTTCTTGTTTATTGGGACAATCAGTGATTGCGACCAGTCGGATGGGGTTACGTTAAACTCCCAGATTTTAGCTAAAATATTAGTTAGCCTGATCGCGAAAACTAGACCTCCAGAGCCAATCCATCTGGACCAACTGCTCTTCCTCGTTTGAGATTAGCTATAGCCTTCTGAATTCAACTACATTCGGGGACCTACTTTTATGTTCCATTCAGGCTGTTCGGGAATGGTGGGTAGTTTCCAAGTAGCTGAAAGCCAGCTGAACTGTTCCTTAAAGTATTTCGTCTATCGTCCTAGACGTCTGGACTGAGACCAGATAAGTGTCATCTTTTTCCGAGATTGTGTCATACTTGATTCCTAATTTCGGTTTCTTTGTATTAGTCTGGAAAGCTGTCTTGTGTTTCCTACAGCCGCTGCCTTTTCCCTCAATTGGTTTCGTTTCCCACTGCTCTCGGTCGTTTTTTAGATTTTGGTTGGTTTAGATCTGATTTGTTTTCGTTCTTCATCGTGTTCGGAGCCCGATGGAGCAAATTTACGAGAGCCTAGCATTGCAATAGGTGTTGCGGAAATCCGCTGGTTTCTAGTGACCATCTGATTCAAATCACTATTAGATGTCGCTGTTGTTTCCACCTGGTTGGGGACCGCGAGATGATAGCAACCGATGGTTAGAGACCTTAAATGACATGGCTCAAAATCGTTTGCAATGGTGGAGGTGCATCCACTCTTTGTGTTCTCCCAAATTATAATCTTCTGAATTCTTCATGTTCTTTATTTTCTTTCCAAATTTATTCCACTGGACTATACTCCTTTAATAACATTATCAAACCTTAATGTCCCCTATCTCTACTTATACTTTCAGTACCTCTAGCACTATGGGATTTGAATCGATAACTGAATCTCTGTGCTAATGTGGTATGGCAACTCGAACTGATGTACGTACGTACGAAGTTCCACGTTGTTACTGACTGACTGTTTCCACAGCTGTTCATATATCCTCCCAAGTAACATATGGGTCAGCCTCGTTTTCGAAGTTGGCTAACCTTCACTCAAGTTGTTCATGGAATTTACCTTTGGCCTTCTCATCGCCGAGTCCGATTTTAATGAATCTTTATGTGACTTTCCTGTGTCCAGTGAAAAGTAAGCAAGTGCATGCTCCTATTAGAGCATGATTAGAGTTCAAACAGGTATTCGAGAACGAGCGACAGTCTCCTGTCGAGTCTCTTCAACGATGACTGATGGCAATATGGTCTAATTTAGTCCATGTAGTGGGTTGCCATTTCAGACAGTGTCTCTCCTTGTGTTTAAAATTAGTGCTTGCTAAAAATAAACGACCGTCTGAGCATATTTGCAGCAGGCGATCACCATTACCTGTTTCCTGAGCGGGAATACTAAGATACCCACCTAAATGTCTTTCTGTTTGGTTTAAGCTACCTACCTGGGCATTGAAGTCACATGCTATGAGTACTATGTCTGAACGTTTAGCTTTCTGAAGAAGTTCAGACAGCTTTCTGTAAAATTCATCTTTCGCTTCATCCAGTCTTCAGTCAGTGGAAGCGTGGGCAGAAACGACGAAAAGGCCACTATGTGTCCCTACTTTTCCGAGTTTTTACGTAGCCGTTCAGTCGAACAGCACATAGGCGACTGTTAACAGGGATTCATTCTAATAGCTCTTGTTCTGCTTTCCTACTTAGTGCTATGTCGATGTAGGAGGATTAATAGGAATCGAAGAGGGAGATTGATTACCACTATAGTGATCTTGAGTGTTGTTAGAGGTATACGGGCAGTTATCACTTCCCGGTTGCCTACACCGTGGTAGGGTTCTTCTGGAGGTACCTGAAAAGGAAATTGAGTGGTCTTAGTGACCTGAGAGCGTGACTGATATGCCCAAGGGACAACTGCTCTAGGTCGGTCACGCACGACTTGTTGCCTTTACCCCATAAAACTTTGTAATCCTGACGTGGGACTTTGATTATGACAGATAAGTTTGGTTATCCTTCTAATCCAGACAAGTTGCACTTTGGCTTCTAAATTGATCAGTGCTGCTGCTAGAGACTCAAGAGATAGTTTATAACACGGTGTCGTATGAAGTATGGTTACATTTTACTCTATAAACCGTCTGTTCGTTCTAACTCCGTAAACGATATCGTAGAGTTGATGGTAGGTCGACCTAACGTGTCAGTAAAATACAGGTTTATAGTGTTGCTAGTGTTTTACCCTTCACCTTAATGGCTATAATATGAAAGCGTATCGACGTGTGTTTTGTGCCACTGCTCCTTTTTTCCCATCATAATTCCTAACGTATATAACCTTTCACACCTTAAAGTTGAAATGTTACGTGGGGCTTGTCTTCACGTTCATGTACATACTTGTGTCTAAATAGTGAAAAAAATATCTACTGTTTGATGAGATACTTCAAAGTAGATGACTTGAGCATGAAATGAACGGTGAATGATGATACGGATTGTGCTTGTAGTTGTAATTTTGTTACTCCATAATTCTGATTTCTCGTAAGCACAAATTTTGACATAGACCCTAATGATGTCTTTGCTACAACTTTTGTGGAGGTGTGAGTTCAATAAAGATGACGTTTAGTGTGGCTTTAAAAGCCCGGTCCCTAAAACCTCGTTTGAAAAGCGGTGAAACAATATGACGAAATGGTACTGATCCTGATGAAGTACACAGTATGAAATTGTATTATGTTGTTATGATGTGTTTAAACACAACGAAAATGCTTAACTGTACAGTAAAATTGTTAGTTACCACACCCACCATACGTTGGTTTTTGGTCTACGTGTTCATAATGTAGTCTGAGTTTAGTTGCAATTCTCTTAGATCTCAATTGTCCAGCAATTTAATTTTTATTCTCTTCAATCTGCAATTCGGAATTATATAATAATAATAATAATATATTCTGAAAATAATAATTGCAGAATTCACGCCAGTTTACAGGCATGATTAACTCGATATAAATAGTAACATTAGATGTATAGAACAAACATGTGATTGAAGAAAGTTTCAAGTATACTAGTTCAGTAATTGTTTAGGTAGTACATATATTACAGCGATCTAATGCATCAGTCGGGAACTTTCAACTTTTCTTAAATGGATTTATGAACGGTGTAATTAAGGTCATTTCCTGTGCCAGATCGAATTAATGATAATTATCTACGACTAGAGAAATTAAAACGAAAACAGAGCACGAAACAACAAAGCAGTAATTACGAAAATATGTCACTCAGGTCTACCAAAATGCACGTGTCATGTGACACTGATATACTGCTGATGTTAGATATTATTCAAATTAGTCAAAGTTGCTAGGGACGGTGACAGCAAGTAGGTGGTTTTACTTAGGGAATGCACTAATAAAAATGGCTAAACATTTAAAGTTCCTATAATATCACTTGTGGAATGAGATACACTTACAGGTGCTAGGACATTCAATGCATTTTCAGAGGAGTAGTATACATCAGTGCAGCGAACAAATAATTGGGGTGATTGTATCGTACGGATAAATTGTGGTAGGTTATTCCAGAGTCTAGAAAATTTACAGGTAAAGTAATTTATGTAGAGAGATGATTTAGAATAAGTTTGTTTCACTAGTGACAAGGAATTATGGATGTCATAATGAGAAGTCTCTGCATATGGAATCACTTGACTGGATGTAAAGGATAGTTTATTAAGTAAATAAGAACTTTCGTCTAAATTTGAACGAATAGTTTAACAATATTTGAAGTAAACCAAATTCTTTCGCTGAGATTTTATAAATACATTTTTCCTCTTTAGTTTATTAAGTAGTTTGAAGAAAAAGATAGGATTTAGTTCGAGTCTCCTCTTCCATAAACGATCGAGCCCAAGTTTATTACATCTAGAATTATAACTTAAGGTACAATCAGCTCCAAGGATACGAAGTGTAAATCGTCTTTGTACTGAGTCATTGGCAACAGTTAAATCATTAAAATTAAAATTGGAACTATCTGAAGTTCAAAATTATCTACAGAATTAGGGTTAGTTAGAGAATGATTAAAATTAAAGTTGAAATCACCAATTTCATTAATCTTCACTTGGTCTAAGGGTCTGCTGTGAATTGAATGGTCACTTGAGTCAAGAATCTCCGCCATCCGACTACCTATTCTCTTAAGTAATATAATCCACGCAGATAGTCGGTAGTAATTTCTTTGGTAAAATTGTACTTCTGATATTTTGTTCACCAAATGTGTTCGAAGTATACGAGATTTGAAGAGTTTAACCAGACTGTCATGATTTCTTGAATGTTCCGCATTAGGTAATGAAGCAAGGAATTATTGATGCATTTTTATAGATTGCTTGGATCCAATGAAGCCCCCTTTGAAGTTCGGATGAAATTTTCTGTTATACCGTTAGACTGAGGACGTCATGGGGCTGTGAATAGATGACGGCATCCGATGTCAGTAAGCCAGCTGCCCAACTTTTTCTGTAGATGGTTTCCATTGTCTATTAATAATACATTGGATATCCCTTTACGCCTGGATATATTTCCTTATCGCTGTTTGAGTAGTGTCTACTAGGACTGTTCATTAGTACCACTTCTGGCCATTCGGAATAAGAGTCGATAACAACTAAAGCACAATATGAGTTTAGTAACAGGTCACAGTAATCCGCAGGAATACGTTGCCACGATCCATAAGATTCAGGGAAATGATTCGAAAAGTAGGTTTATTATGCAATAACTTATGTAAACAAGCGAGAATTTTCCGATTTTCGACTTGTATCAGCGTTAATGTCATGGCACCAACAAACTTGATGCGTAAGTAATTTTTTTCTCTGTTCCTAGATGGGTGGAATGATTACTATTTAATCACAGAAAACGTTCAGGATGTACTGATTACCTCGCTTCTTTTGTAAAAATCAGAAAACGCGTTAATAATAATTCAGATCGATGCCATGAGGAAACCTGAACCTACATATCAGTAAAGGAACTGATTTGCTGATGTCGAGGATTCGTTCGCAACAATCTGCAATCTCCATTTGCATATGGTCAGTGTACGTAGTCTACAAAGCAGTCGAAATTCAATCATCTTGTGTTGGAATTAGTCAAATTTTTTGGAAATCACCTGAAATAAGAAAACTGTTCAGCATCAGTCGTCTAAACTATTCACATATCAACCGAAATATTTCAGGAACTGGAAGCTTGACCAGTAGCGCTAGACATTTTACTGACAAAGTGAATAGACAGTCCCTGAAATTACATGTCACTGAGTTGACTGATATTGCGCTATTTTAGGAATATAATACGGTTTTTCAATGAAGCGAGTATAGCGACATCATTTTGATGGACAAATACTCAAAAACAAACCCGACGTTTACCCTACATAAGAACGATAATTCACTTGAAATTAGTTCAAACAACATTTTTTGGGTGTCCAGATGTCAACAGACTATTCAATAATGCGAACACTAGGAACTCGTGCAAGCCTAACGCACTCAACCAACATCGGGTACGGGATAAAAGCTTCTAGGTGGGAGAAACGGAGGCCGTCTAATACGGCAGTTATAAGTGTAGGGGTAAAGATACCGAATGGTCTATCATGGGAATGAATTCACTTTTAGCCAACATCAGCTTTTCTGGAGCCAGTCGGCGCACTTTCGAGAATACAGGTGGGCATGTAGTCGTGATGTGTAACATTGCTGGTTACATACTTAATTTCGGTCTTGTTTGGTATATTTCAGGGTACTAACCGAGTATTTGTTGGTAGTATGGCTCAATCGTGTGCCTTATTGTGACTGTAGATAAACATTAACCGGAAAAAGAAGTTACACAAACAGATAAATTAGTGTTTCCGTTTACTAACCTCCGTACGCGTGTCGAGTAAATTATGATGTTGTAGCAGGTCTATACCAACGATTGGCATAGAAATATCTGCGACAACGAAAATCCAGTGGATGGGTTTGCGTAAACCCACGTTAAGGTAAGCGCACTTTCTACCATATGGGTAACGCTTTTGATCTTGCTACTCTAAACCTGTAAATGTAAACAGTGGGGTTATACAAGGAAGTGTGATTGGTCCGTTACTCTTTCTCCTTTCTTTCAATGACGTGTGTTCCCTCTTTCAGTATGGTAAACCTTTCCTTTTTGCCGAAGACCTAAAAGTGGTTTATTCATTCTCTTCTCCCACCAAAGAAAGCTATATTTCAGCGTTAATCCAGAAAGAAATAAACAAGTTATACGAATGTACTGTTTCGTGAAATTTGCAACTTAATGTTGACAAAAGTGGATTGATTCACATTGGCCACTGCCTTAACCCAAATCTGGCTATACACAAACATACATTGGAACCCCTCAACACTGTTCGTGACTTGGGCTTAAGACATAGCAACAGTCTGAACTTTTCTGAGCACATTGCATCTCAAGTATCAAAAGCTAGAAAGCTCATCCGATCTATAATGATAAACTTCAATAATATCGAATCGAGATTATTATTATACAGAAGATGTATCTTACCCATCATTGAATATGGTATTTTAGTTTACAGTAATTGCAGACATAATGGCCTGATTAAAATCGAAGGTGTTCAAAGAAGGTTCAGAAAAGCTGTTCTGGGGTATTCCGGCTACAAAGATGTCAACAATTCAAATTAGACCCTCTATGGATCAGACGTATCAAATTAAACCTTGTCTTTATCTGCCAGCTTATTAACGGTATTTCCTACTCTTCGGTATCCACCCCTTCATACTCTATGATATCCCATAATCTACGCAATAAGGAAAATATTCTAGCTACTCCAAGAACCCACACAAACCTACGCCAGAATTTTTTCGTTATTCGCTACTCAACTATGTGGAACAGACTGCCAGTGAACCTCCGTTGCAGTGAAACTACAACGTGGTTCAGAAGTCTCCTTGATGATTTTCTTTCCGAAAGTGGATTGTGTCACCTATTAAATATCAATGTGTTTAATAATGATTTATACAAACAAGGTCCGTCATCCATCTAAATGACTGAAAAGCAAAATGCAATCTTTGGAACTTTTAACGTCTATTTTACTTTATTTTCTTTCTGTCCATCTTAATATATGAAGTCTGCTTATGTTCGTATATACAATTATTACTGTTATTGGTCCCTCGACACATAAGATATTCTTTTTATCTCCTCTTATCCTTCTAAACATATGTAATTCCTGATTGTTGTTTGAAATTAGTTGTGACTTTCATAGCATCATTCTTAATTATAATTGCACAAATGTTTATACTAATAACCGGTTTCACTCTGTATACTATTACATAAATCTACATGTATTTATCCGAGTGCACTAAAGAATTCTTATTTTATTTTTCTAAATTGTTGGTTTACTTTAGAGGTCGATATTCATTACACAATTATTATTATCATGGTTGAACCCTATCACAAAGTGTTCATTTCTTTTCTCTTTTTTCCTTTTAAATAAATATTACGAAGTTTGTAATTAAAACAATAACTTGTGTTACCCTTAAATTAACTTCTCAGACTCGTTTTATCTTCACTATGCATATATGACTCATACACATTGACATTTCATTATCCTTCTCACTTAATTGAGACTTGCATAGCATCACTCCGAATTATGACTGCACAAACATTTATTCTAGCGTCGTATCTTACTGCAATAACAAGTTTTTTTTTCCTTAATTATTTTCTATTTTATTTTTGTTACTAATTTGACGATACATACATAGTCGTTTATTCTTGTTCTATGTTCATAAACACGCCTATTAAACTATTTGCGTATTTTACATCTCTTTTATTTCTATTCCCTTATTTTCTTCTTTTTCTTCTTTAAACTCAATTCAATATTCTTCTCAATTACATAGAACCTGATTTATTATTATTCTATCATTACTACTGTCTTTTTTCAAATATGGCAAATATAATGCTAACATTATTAAAACTTGTGTATTATTGCATTTTTGAAGAAACCCGAAATGGTTTCTTCACAACACTTATGTACCCATAAGATGTTTGTGAATAATAATAACTGTTGAAACTGAGTGGGGAGAAGAATTTCGCAAAACTGGATCTGTCATAAGCTTATCTACAGATCCCAGTAGCCGAAGAGTGCAAGCATTGCTTGAAAATAAACACGCATAAAGGTTTGTTCCGATATAACAGACTTCCTTTTGAAGTAAGGACCGCCCATTCAATCTTCCAACAAATTGTGGACACTATGTCACGAGATGTTCCTGTTACTGCGTCGCATCTGGAAGATATACTAGTCATGGGTACAGACTGTGCTTATTTAGAGAGGAATGTGCATATGGTTCTCAATCGCATAGCAGATTATGGTTTCAGATTACATGCTGAAAAATGTGATTTCTACATGGAGCGAGTTCGTTATTTGGAATTCATCATCGACAAAAACGGAAGAAAACCTGATCCGAAAAACGTCAGGGCTATGAAGATCATGACTCCACCAACAGATGTATCAACTCTACGTTCGATCTTGTGGATGGTTAGTCATTATGGTGTTTTAATTCCAGATCTGCATCGCCTCCGTGTCCCTCGAAAATTGTTTACTGAAAAAAGATACCAAATGGTTCTAGTGAACGAAATTCCAAGAAGCATTTTTAAAACTAAAACAGCTCCTATCATCAAACCTTCTGCTTACACACTATGATCCAGATCTTCCGATTGAGGTCGCAGCAGATGCGTCAAATTACGGAATCGGAGCAGTAATTTTACATATCTACGTTGACGGATATGAGAAGGCAATCGCCCACGCTGCTAGATCGCCAACCAAAACAGAACGGAACTACAGTCAGACAAAGAAAGAAGCATTCCCATCATATTCGCTGTAAAAAGTTCCACAAGATGCTATTTGACAGACAGTTTTCGGATCCACGAAGGGTATCCCTCTATACACAGCAAACCGTCTGCAGCGATAGTCTGTATACTCAACAAGTGGCCTTCATCTAGACTACATGGCGAGATTCTTTGATAGTTGTCGATTTGTGCATCATGTTTTGCCGCCATATCGTTATCTCCAAAAATCTTCAACACCAAGTCCTTGAGCAGTTCCATCGCGGATACTTGCGTATAAGTAAATGAAGTCACTAGCTCGGAGTTATGCATATTGGACCATGATATTGAACATAAATGTCGCTGTTGTTGGTCCTGTCTAGAGACTGCAAAGAATCAGACTAAAGCTGAGCCACAACCATGGCCAAATGTTAGGGTTGAAGCTATCACTAGTTCACTTATTCTGCGAACGAGAACGAGGTTCGATGACTAAGACCAGTAAGCTAGCTAATGACGGCGAGGAGGGCTTCTTCTGAGCTGGTTTGGAGTGGTTGGGGATGGAATCAACGTTTGAAGGACTCGAGGTTTTCGATTTCGAAGACTTTTTCTGGTGCTGAACAGCATGAACTTCGGAACCACCCTGGCCCCCAGATTGAACCAAAGTGGTGTCACGCTGCAGGTTGATTAGGCGTTGATATTCGTTTGCAATATCGTTAAGGGTTAGTTTTGGGTCTTGGTCCAATCGACTTAGTAGCCTTGTTCGTAAGTCACTGAACTTTTGGTACTGTAGGCTGCAAATGAGGATCAGGGCTTTAAAGTGATCTTCAGTCAAAGACTTCAACCGGAAGTGTTCGCATTCACGGTTGACGACGCCCATATGCGTAAGGAAATCGTCATCTTCGTTCATAGTTAGCTCCAGGCATCGATAACTAGTATTAAACAGTGACGAGTTATCGCCAAAATGTTGGCCTAATGTTTGAACTGTGTCTGCAAAAGGTCAGTCATGTGGGTTTAAAGGCAGGATCAGATTGCAATACTTATCCAGCTCAGTTGCACCCAATTTACGAAGTAGCAGCCGCACTTTCCAAGCATCATCTTGATTGGCGAAATCAAATTTAAATAGATCTTCGTAACGCCTGAACCACATCTCAAAAGTAACATTAGAATCAGGATCGTAATGGAATTCAGCTATACTGTTTGCGATGCCATCTACCGATGGTGCCGTGGTTGAACTAGACGTGCTTGGCTGCAAGGGAGATGTAACCCTGGTCTCGGTCAACAATTTCAGCTGCTGCTCAAGTAACAATTCAAGTTTGGAAGGGTCCATAATTGAAGAACCGCCGTCGCTAAATTTGTTAGGGTTGAAGCTATAACTGGTTTACTTATTCTGCGAACGAGAACGAGGTTCGATGACTAAGACCAGTAAGCTAGCTAATGACGCGTCCCAGCCCCAGCTATTTAGAGGGAGAAGTCCAGGCTTGAAATGAGAGTATATTCTGGAACGACCAGAAAACCAGCGATTTTTACAAAGACAATTTAAAACGTATATATACAAATATATATACATCGATATTGCCATGGAGCTTTTAAACATCTAATCGATAGTTCGTCAATTGACTATGTGCGTGGGTGGTAAGAAATGCCCACGTATACATCTGCATACAAGCTCCACAAGATAAAATTACAAACTATGAGTTTTTGGGGGAAATGACACCATTTCTCATTCAGGAATGGCATTAGATTATTTCTGGGGTATTTTCTGAATACCCCAACACCAAAACCGGACGGACCTTGGCAAAGAATACACGCTGATTTCGCCAGTTCAAAACAAGGCAGAAATTACTTGGTTGTTATCGATGCTTTCACAAAATGGCCAGAAGTATATGGTATGCCGACCTCAGAAAGTACAATACAAAGACTCAGGATTATTTGCTTGTTTTGGGTTTCCAGAGATCTTGGTGACTGACAACGGAACCCAGTTTATGTCGTTTATTTTTAAACTTTTGCAGTGAAATGGCATATCGCATCTACAGTCTCCTCCATACCATCAGTCGAATAGTCAAGCATAAAGATTCGTGGATACGAGCTCTGGTCGAAGGGGGAGAAGAGGATATCCCAGAACAAGTGGTCAGTAAGTTCCTATTGTCTTACAGAGTAACCTCCAATCCGGCATTACCAAAAGGAAAGTCAGCAGCTGAGTGTATGTTTCGAAGAAAAACCCGGACAGTCTTAAATAGTATATTGCTGCCCAGAAAGACAAAAATCCACGAATGAGTATCGCACGATCAGTCACAGTTTCCAGATGTGTGAAAAAGAACTTGTCAATTTGTTTCAAGGTAACAGACAGTAAGATCCAGGTGTTATTGAACGTCGGATCAGAAATGTGTTGTACCTAATCCGGAAAAAATATCGGAATGTGTATTAGACACATAAATCACATTTAAAAGGATGGACAAGCATTAATTACACTAAGCCGACTCCCATTTCAAGTGATCGTGGATTCTCCTCGAAAAAGCCCAAAGGTGAACGAATTTAGAAGAGATAAAAGAGGGCAAAGCGGCACAACCTTCAAGAGTGATGAACTGCAAAAGGAATACGGTAACCAAGTTCCAGGTAAACCCGAAGAAAGCGTCTTACACAACACACTTTAGAGAGGGGAGGTGCAAGGACGGCCCACAGGTAAACTTGAGGAAGCTCTAAGAAGCTCAGAAAGAGCCAAAGATATTCAATCCAATCATCGTTTGGAAGAATATTCCAGAATCCCTACGTGCAACTTCCCTATTGAACAAATGCTAATAACCCCCTGTATGCGGATCGAAGGACTATAATGACGATTTCGTTTTTACTAAAAACTGGGGATTCAATTGTACTAGGGAGTTCATTTACATACAGTATAAAAGGTAAAGGACCTAGGACAGAATCTTACGGTACTCCATTTGTTATGTCTTGTGAATCGAATCGAATGCTACTTTTTGTATCTGGTCGTCGCTGATTGTTATCTCGGAATCGCTGATCACTTATGCTAGGAACGAAGGGAACCTCCACAATTCCCACGACACGAAAGTAAGAACACAAGACTGGTATAAGCGAAGTTTTATTAGCCCAAAACACTATGATGACGACGACGACCTTAGCCAAAAATACACTCGTTTATATATTGATTGTACACCCATTTTAATTAATAATTAGAATGAAATCACATACATGAAAAATACTCAGTTATGACAAATCACATATAGAGCATAGTTCATGTCAATTAAATACAAGAATATCATATATTATACAGAATAATATATCATACGAGAAAAGAAAATAAATACTACATTGAGTAATAATTACATTGAATCAAAACAGAAGTAATGTTGAATAAAACTCATAATGAGTGAATAGATCAAAAATTGACTTTCTTTCCATCATATCACCTCCTCTTCTTTTTTGAAGACTCCATGTTGAGATCCATCTTTGAATTTTATGACTTCATCCTCCCCCCCGAAATAATGTTGGATCCTCATATTCCCAAGTTACAGTTAGTGTGACTATTTAAAATATATTTCTCGCATTGAGTAGAGAGTCCAGTAGAATTGACTACATGGTGAGGATCAACGACACTAGACATGAGGTCATTAGAGTTTGATTCTTGTGAAACATTTTCATCACATCTCTTGAAAATCTCATTAGTAGATAATCGATCACTAGAATAATCAGTATCTATCATAATTTTACTAGGTTCTTGGTCATCGTTTGATGCATCCGACAAATTCTTCTCATTTTTGCAAGAAATTTGATCAAAAGCATGTGAGTCATTAAGATAACTCATATCTGGTAATGCAACTAGAGAACCCCAATAAGTACATGCATCAGAAAATCTTGTCGTAGAATGATGAGCTCCATATAATGCAACTGTCTTTATTATGCTGCTTGATTCATTTTCTGTTTCTTTGTGGGCCGGTACTGCAATAATTTCATGAGCGTTTAATAAGACGTCGTCTGTCTGTGAGCTGGACAAGTCAGTGTTTGCACATGGTGTTTCGGAGGCAATGGGATTAGAACCCACGACAGGGCATGTCTCTGAAATGGACATTTCTGGATTACTGGGTGGATCATGAATGACTGCCACTGCCTCGCTTACATTACTGCTCGTCAAAGATTCATAGAGGCATTTATCGACACATTCATATGTTCTGCAGTCATTTTCCAGCTCGGCATGTAAATTAGAAATTAATTTATCAACTTCTGCTACATCTCCAAAACATGGATGACTTAGCAGCCGTGTACGTAAATTGTTTAAAACATTCAACTGGCTATTTTTGAACCGCTGCTGTTGTCGCTCAAATAGTAACTGTAATTGATCGGGAGAGATAGCCATTTTCTGAATCAGTACGGTAATGAGAAATACTGTATGATTAATTAACAATCAATGTCGTTGAAGGACACCGGCAAAAATCCTGTATGCTTATTGTCTTGGCTTTTTTTTCGTCGACAGTTGTTATGACTTGAGTTCGAATCGAATGCTACTTTTTGTAAACGGTCGTCGCTGATTGTTATG